AACTCTCAACTCTTTTCATATTAATATAGTTTTTTGACAGGAAAAGCACTAAAATATTTGTGTGTATTTAGTTTGTTCTTTAATTTAGATTTTTTTGTTATTTTTTGGGGAAAATATGGACTCAACAATAGTAGATGAATGAAACAAAATATTTTCAAAAGATATCAACTTCTTCGGGCATGTCGTCAATAAGGAGTAATAAGGATTTGTATGAATATCTCTGTAAGTATGCAACTAGACAGAACGATGGCCTATGATTACTAAACAAAATTTATTCAGGCGACATAGGGGGAGAGCGGAGTAAGTTTGGGTACTTTGCAAGTATTTCATGGTACTTACCGCCTCCTTATGTAATTTTGATGTCGCACGCTTGGACAACCTGGGAGATGCAGGCTGCTGAGATGGTGGTTGTACTGTCAATGAGCTTGCCAGTTCTAACGTCGACTTGAATGCCAAAATGTGACAGGAAATCAGCTCCCAGGATAGGGTGTATGACTTGTGCAATTATGAATGTCCAGGTGAATTTTCGTCTTAGTCCGATGTTGAGGCTCAACGTTTTTGTCAAGTCTGGATTTGGGACCCACTGGCGGAATACAGTGTTAGGTTGTTGTTTATTGGCCCAGTAAACCTGCTGTTGGGAAGAACGCTGATTTCAGCACCTGTGTCAACGAGGAAAGACACTTAGGGCACGTTGTCTTCGATAAATAGGCGACTTGGTGTATGAGGGTTGATTGTCGCCACTATCTCCCCTCGTTCTTGTTTTCCTGGTGGCTTGCTGTACAGGGCAAGACGCATTTTGCTGCAGCGCTTCCAAAACGGCGGTGGTACCAATATTTTCTAGCGCTGCTGCAGTCCCTGGACTCCCTAGCGCTGATTTCTTGCGAAGAATGACTTCTCGATGTCGATCTTTCTCTGGACAGCCGTTTTACAGCTGTGGTCAGTTCGGAAACTTGTTTTTGTAAAGCTTCGAGGCTGTTTTGCTCTGTTGTACTGGAGACTGCTTGGACGTGACGGCGGCCTACGGTTTCATGGATTCGGTCAGCAATTAGTCCTAAGAGTGAAATATCGTTTCCGAATACTAACCAAATTGTTGGAATATGAGTGGGCAGCCTTTCGAGCCATAGTGTTTGTAAGGTTTTATCCGAAACCCGCCCCTCATTCAAGTTTTGAATTTTCATTGGCAATTGAGAAGGTTTCTGGTCTCCCAGAGTAAGAGTACTAAAAAGTTTCTTAGTTTTCTTAACATCGCTGTCTGCGAAACGAGTAATTAGCTTTTCCTTGAGTGATGGGTACTTATCTGAGCTTGGAGGGTTTCGGATTATCTGCAACTTCAGCGAGTACGTCACAAGTGAGGCTGGCCACTGTGTGGTCGAATTTGGAGTTGTCCGAGGTAATGCCAGCAGTTCAAAATTGGCATTCGATAGGGTAGAACCATAGCTCTGGCTCGGACTTCCAGAATTCCGGTGCTTTAAAACTAATGCGATGCACTTCGGGAGTTACCATTGGTAAGTTGGCGTCGTTGGCGGTTGCTGGCGTGGGTTCAGCCAATGGTTCAGCCATCCTTTTTGTCCTTGGAATCAACGTGGTAGAGCAGTTGGAATAGAACAGCAGGAACGAAGGAGTTATACAGGGTGTCCCCCAAAAAGTTACATATCAAAGATGTTTATTTAACATCCTATATATTAACAGATTTTCAAATTCTGGGAGAAAAATAATGGTGAGTTTCATTATGACTAAAATACAAGGTTTTTGACATATTTAACATTTTCTAGAAATAAAGAACATCTTTAAATTACAATAAAAGCTACCTAAATTGGAATTTACCCGGTATAACCTAATATGTTGTTAAATTAACTAAATTGTACTTTAAATCAAATTAAAACTTGACCCAAAAAGTTATACAGGGTAAGACAAAATTAATATTGAACATTGGTCACCTTTAAAAGCATGTTACTCTTTTATTTTAAATGGAACACCCAGTGTATTATTCCGATATTCAATGGAGAATTCATGTCTCTTCAAAATACTATTAAGGTTGCCTACCACTCAAACAAAGATTTTCCTAGATATTTTGATTTACATCATTTGATCTGCGTAGATCTTTATTAGTTGATAAAATCTAGGTGGCTGGTGATGATTTCTCTATTTATTTAAAGTATTTAAAAATAACAGATATGGATACGGAAGGTAATTTACTAATTATATACATTTTTGTTAAATAACTACCATTTTTATCTTATATGAGCAGGCATGGAAGAATTCGTTATTGTGGTAGAAAATTAAAATGTTCCACCTTCTACAACTACTTCTGCTGGACCAACAACAATACAAGGCTCTTAATCGACTTGCACAAAAAATATAAAAGCAAAGTGGGAACAATGGGGATGAAGAATTTTAAAACTATCTGGGAGAAAATAGCGAATGAGATTTCAGAAATATTGCAGAAAACAGTAACATCCAAAAATGCTGAAAACAGGTGGAAAGTACTTAACCGCAATTTCAAAAAATATGTTGACAATAAAAATTCAACAGGACGTGGTAGAAAGTTTTTGAGTTTGTGTCGGAAATGGAAGAAGCTTGTGGTAACAAAAAGAATATAAGGCCAAAAATTTTACTGGGAAATGAAATTCACATTCCAATGGGAGTTCAAAATGTTAAGCAGGGTCAAAAGCAAGAAAATGTTGAGCAAGGCCAAAGCCAAAAAACTGCTCAGACACAAAAAAAAAGTGATAAGAAAGAAGGACCGGCATTCTTACCAAGAAAACAGAAATCGGTTTCATCAACAGGTTCATCAAGACCAATTAATTTTGCTTCGTTTTAACAAAAAAGTGCAATTGTCGTATATACGAAATTCTATAGGGAGTATTGATTTATTTGTTTTGTTTTATTACATAAGTTGTTAAATTTCATAATGAGTTTTTATTTGTTAATTTTTGGTAGTTATTTGCTGTTATTTATTTTGTTGCTTTTTAATTTGATATTAATGAATCTCTATTTGTTTATTTTTGGTATTTAGTTAAGTTGCTAAATTTGATATACTTAATCCTGTTTAGTTTAGATTTTTTTTCTTTGATTATTTAAGTTCTTTAATTTGATATTAATGAGTTTTTATTTGTTTATTTTTGTTATAGTTTAGCTATTTCATGTTGTTAAATTTAATATTAATGAGTTCTTATTTATTTATTTTTGGCAGGTATGTTGGTAAATTTGATATAATGAGTTCCTGTTTAGTTTAGATATTTATCATATTTCATTAAGAAATGAGTTCTTGTTTATTTTTTAAATAAAAATTTGCATTTGTTTCACTTGATATTGAAGTTTGTGTTAGTTTTTTTTTCGGGTTTTTAAATTTAGATAAAATACCTATTTTGTTTGAAAATGTTTGTGATAGACTTTGACAAAATAATTTAAAAAATATATATTTTGAAAAATATTATAAACAATACTTTTAATGTAAATTACTTACAACAAAATTTCTAGCTCTTTGTGCATCTCGGTCACCATCCAAATCAATTTCATCATCAGGATCATCTATAACATGGGGCATATTTACAGGTAGCACTTCATTTTCTTTCAGAAACTCATTTGCCAAAGCAATATCGTGCAGAACACAAACTGCCCTTATGAAATGTACTCCATTTTCCGCAACTATATATGGTACATTTGTCTAAATTTCTGTTTTAGTACACCAAAACAGTACTCAATTACATAGCGATTTCTTGTTAATCTCACATTATAACGAGTTTGTGCCTGTCAATTGTCCTCGGTCCTTGAAAGGTGTCAAAAGATTAGCACAAAGTGGGTAACCACTATCCCCAAGGAGAATATATTGTCTTACATTTTTCTGAAGTGTTTGGCTCAGAGAAGAGTTTCGGTATACCCTACTATCGTGGACTGAACCAGGATATCCAATAAATACATCCCTAATTTTAAGTGTATGATCACAAATAACTTGCATCTGTAAGATGATTCAAATGAGTACCTACTAAATACTTATAATAATTATAGTTATCTAAGCTAAACTTACTTGAACAGAATAATAACCCTTTCTGTTAATGTATGAATCCGGATCATTCTCCGGCTTATCAATTTTCAGGTAAAATCCATCAATAGCATCAATAATATTGGGAAACCCATTGGCTTGGAAATGTTCAGCAATTTCTAGTTTTTCAGCTTCATTAGGCCAAACTATGACTTGAGGGGCCAAATTGCTCAGGAACACGGACACTCTTTGTATAATCCTTTCTAGGGATGACTTTGTTATGTTAAATCTATGGAACACATCTGCAAAACTCGCAGCTTCATGCCCAATAAACCACAAAAATATTTATATCTCATAATTTAGTATATTTATCAAAAAAATTGTACAATAAAATCTTAAATAATTAATTTACTTACATTATTGTGAGCAGAAATTTTTCCAAATTGACCACTACCGGTTGCGGTACAACAGTGACAGCCGAGTATAAAGCTAAAAGCCATAAAAAATACCATAGTTTTCAGTACAATATTCAGACCTAGCAGCGATTTAGGGACATGTTTATAGCCTTAGTACATAACAATGGTACGTTGCAAAATATTGAGAAATTTTATCATCTTCAATCCTGTTTGAAAGGTAAAGCTGCGCGAATGACTTCCATCTCTATCCCTTTCGGAGGCTAATTACGAAACAGCATTAATTGATTATCGGAAAGGTACGATAATCAAAATGCTAAAGCATATCTCAAAGAAATCTTTGATTTACCGTCATTAGGTAAATTTTTAGATACCGTTTTAAAAAATCTTCGAGCTTTGGAAAACTTTGGCGAATCTATGAAGTTCTAGCACGATTTTAATATATATTTTAAACTCTAAACTGAATTTTCCTACAAAATGTCAGTAGGAAAATTTTAGTAAGGATATTATATATAAGCCTAAAATCGACGATTTTTCCAAGTTTTGACGCAAAATTAAACAGAAATTCGTTATTTCGGCAAAAAAGTATTCAATCTTTAGAACAATCTGGTCCCATTTGTCCTTTGTGCAGCAATAAACATCTTATTTACGTATGCCCGAAATTTAAGTCACAGTAATATGAATGATCATATAAGTATTTTTACTGAGGATAATATTGCCACATTCTCAAAAAATTTCCAAACCCTTCGATTTATTATCGACAGCGCTAGTTTATGTTTTTGGCATAAATCGTGTTCCAGTTTCGTGCCATTTCTCACTCGATAGTGGCTCGCAATCGAATGTTATCACCCAGGATATGGTAACAACATTGAAGTTATGTACGCGAAAGATAAGTTTCCAGTTTCCGGAATAAATCAAATTAAGACAATTCACCAACAATTTGATACAACGATTCGCCCTTCATACAATTCAAGTATTTCTTGCTTAATTATTGATAAAATAAGCGATTTTACATCACAGATGTCTTTTAATATATCAAATCTAAAAATACCCGATTTTTTCATCACTGACCACGATTTTAATATAGCGTCAAGTATTGATATGCTTATCGGATCTTCACTTTTTTATAATTTACTCCTACTACTTATCTTACTTACTTATCTATCATATCTACTACTTACTCCTACTACTAATCTGAACTTCCATTGCGTTTTTTTTTTATGTTTTCAGCTGTTTCACTATTCTAATGTAATGTGCCTCATTTATTAAAATCTAAAAGATTTTTTTAAATATATTTTTAAAATTGCAGAGGACAAAAAAACAAATGCTATTTAGATGCTTTATATGAAATTGATAAAGCAGATCCTTTTGCGCTTAAAGCTGTAACGAAGTTACTATTTTTTTATATATTTAATTAACTTTTTCAATTTTTCCGCCGATTACGAATTTTATTTAGTTAATTTATCTTTCTACTCTTCCATACATTGATAATAATTGAACGCATTCCATGCGCTCGATGCAGCCCGCTTGGTACCGCTAGTACTAGATTGGCGTATCGAGACGCGCACCCGGCTCGGCGCACGCCGCCACCACGACGGTTTTCAACTGGAGGGAAGGACTGGGGAAAATAAGAAGCGACGCGCTAGCCAGAGAAAGGGAGTTCCCACACCACCACCACCGACAGTACTAGCACCAGCTCCAGCACCAGCACCAGCAGTCACAGTCGCCGCAGTCCGCCACGCAGAAGCCAGCACCGAGAACCAGCCGCCGCCTAGCAGTGGGAAAGCCTGCCGTCCTCCGTTTTTATCGAATTCACCGTCGCTCCGAAACCGCCCGCAAGGTAACCTTCAGGATTAGTTTGGTATAGTATTGAGTATCGAGAATTCATTGTTTATTTGGTTTTTAATATTTTTTTTTATTTTTTTCAGAAAGGAATCCTGTACCGTGGCAAGGTCTAAATAGTTAAGAATAAAATTCCAAAAGTAAAAAAAAATATTTTAAATATCAATAGCAAATCTGTAAAATCCAATACGCTTGAGTTATCAATAGGGACTTGGAAAAGCAAGTAAACTGTGAGTGAAAAAAAATCCCGGCAGTTTGCTTCAAACTCTAAATTCTTTATTGGTAATTTAGTTAAAAATCATTAAGTCAGGTCATAGATTTTTTTTAATCACTTAAAACATATTTGGGTTGTTAATGAGGACTAGGTAAAATAAGTAAGTTGTGAGTGCGAAAAATCCCGGCAAGTTGCTTCGAATTCCAGGTTCCTCATTGACTACTCAGATAAACTGTCTTTAGTTTTTTTTTCTTTCCGAAAACCACCCGCAGTAAATCATTCTATCAGTTCTATTAATAAATAAGCGGCATATCTCTAGTGAAGATTAGGAACGTAGGAAATTTGTGAGTGCGATAAATCCCGGCAGGTTTCTTATACACCGATCCCTTCACTATAGATATTCTCGCTGAACTCTTATAGTTTTCCGCATTTCCTTTCCTTCGTAATTTAATTTTTTTTTATTTCTTTCCGTTGCCTTATTTAGACCTTAGCCCCGCCGTACTTTTAATGTTAAATAAATATTTTTTTTTAGTATTTTCTTATTCTCACCGACATACTTTTAAAAATAAATAGAATAATTATTAGAACAATTTCTTGTTAACTCCGAAACATTTTTAATTCAATTAAATAGGAATTACAACATTTTCTTATTGACACACCCGTATACGTTTAATATTTTGACTAAAACATTGAATAGAATATTTTCAATTCTTTACACTATCACTCTCAAGTAAATTTTGTCTTCCTTTTTCTTTTTGAATTTATTAGCAAGTGCTAACATTAATTATTTTTTTTTTTATTTAAGAATAAATTATTTTTTTTATTATTAACTTGGGAGTGCCGTCCTTCCCCTAACAGTCTCTAGTTTTTATTAATATTCTTTTCTGTGTAGATTTGCTCCAACCCGGTGACGAGACTCTCCGCATCGGAGCCAATTTAAGCGCTAGGTGTCTCAACTAGCCACCTACACATCGCCTTGCCTTCCGCCCTGATTAAGAAGAAAGACATTTTTCTTTGAATCTAAAATAAACTTTTGACTTGTAAATAGTTTTGGGAAAACACGACCTGCTCTTTATTTTATAACTACAGACTATTGTTTAATTTATTTTTCCCCACCTCTGAGCTAAAAGAACTGCAACACTGCCATACTTCTCCACTGTTTAAAAGCTACCCGAACCGGCACTGGTGGGCCTCTAACCACTTATTAACTAGAGGTGGCGCCCGAGATCTTCTAAAAGCAACAATACAAGAAACTTAAGCGTCAGTAACGCAACTCAGAAAGAGCTTCGTTGCAAAGCCTAAGACTTTGCCTAAAATTAACAGATGGCCATATTAAGAATTGTGTGGCGTATGGGTGCAATAACTTAGTAAGATTTAGAACTTAGTAAGATAAGTATAATATATTGTAAGGACCCCAATATTCAGTTTCATACGTAAGTTTTAATGCAATTTTTTTTTTTTCTTTAAATCCGAATCACGATCGGGTTTTTGTGTTCTTTGATTTCCCTCAAACCACCAGAAATCCTTGAACTTTGGATTAAGGCAATAAGGCGATAAGTGATAATTGGAAGCCAGCTCGAACAAGTAGACTTTGCAGTGAACATTTTAAAATGTATTTCATTTGTTTTAGGGTTACCATTGGAGATGTTAGTTCATCAATTAAGTTATAAAGATGTTCCTCCAAGTAAAAGACAATACTCAGATCTTATGAAGCAGTTCACTCACACTCTGTATTTTTAAGCTCCTAAAGCATACAACTTTGTTAAAAAGCACTTCCTGCTACCAAATCCCAGAACAATTAGAAGGTGGTTGTCAACAAAAAACTGCTGCCCTGCTTTTCTTTCTGAGGTGTTGGAGTTTTTAAAGGTTGACATTCTTAAACAACCATGTTTAACACACTGTGCTTTAATTTTTGATGCAATGTCTATTCGTAAACGAATAATATGGGATCAACAACATGGAAAGTTTGTGGATTATGTTCATTATGGTGGAGCTGTAGACTGTAGATGTAAATCAAGACACTCCTGCTTCTGAAGCTTTATTTTTTCAAATTGTTTCTTATACTAATAGATGATAGTACCATATTGCTTATTTTGTAATTGATGCGAACACTCAAGCCCAGTTGATTAATTGTTGCCTTCGGAATTTATTTGAAATAGGAATAAGTATCCATTCAATCACTGGCGATGGAACGGCTGCTAATATGAAAACATATCAAACTTTGGGATGTAATTTCACAATTACAGGAAATATTATCCCACCATCTTTTAAGCCTTTTTATACACCCAGCCTTGCTAAACTTGGATCTTGCTCATATATGGTAAAATTAGCAAGAAATCGTTTGGCTGAAAAGAGCTTAACAGCTCCAAAAGGAAGTATTAAGTTCGACTTAATAAAAAATTTAAATGCCATTCAAAATGAGCAAAGATTAACCTTGGCAAATTCCCTAAGTTCTACTCATGTAAATTACGAAAACAAAATAATGAATGTAAGATTAGCGGCCCAAACATTAAGTAGTTCTGTTGCAAGTGCTCTAAAGTTTTTGCAAAAAGAAGGTTATCAAAATTTTCAGGACTGTGATGCAACTATTGAGTTTATGTACAATATTGACAAAATTTTCGACATGTTAAATGCTCGAAATCCATTTGGCAATAATTATAAATCGCCAATGCGAAAGGAATCGTTATCATATACTCGAGACACTTATGATAAAGTTACTAATAATTTATTGATTCTCAAAATTGATGCTATGCCTTTAATTTCGCATGGTCAAAAAACTTTTGCCTTGGGATTTATTATTACGATGTCCAGCATGTTAAAACTAGCCAATGACCTTTTTACTCAAACATCAGAATTATTAGATACACTTTGCGAGATTGCTATTTACACAAGATGGGGGTTCAACAGTACTAGCGGAAAGAATTACCAGGTCATGAAAACTCAGGTGAGGCAATATACTAGAAAAAAACATCCCTATTTTTATTGAAGCTGATGCAAGCACTCTGAAGGAGAACATAAAAAAATACCCAAAAAAGATAAAGACATGAAAACTCCATTTGGTTGACAGCTCTGAGTATAATATCTTCGCATTTCGAAACCAATTTTTCAGCAGGACGAGGCAACTTGCCATACTGTTGCCGCAATTCAATATTACGTGTTACGTGTAAATAGGTACGTGTCGAGAAAAATACCGGAAGTTTAAAAGACGCCTACATTCAAAAAAGAAGTGTAGGCCTGTATTCACCAGCGATACCACATTGTTCGAAATGAGAGCCTTTTTGGGCCTTTTATACTTACAAGGAATTTTCATATCTGGTCACGAGGACATTAGGTCAATGTGGGCTACGGATGGCACAGGAAGGTCTATTTTTCGCGCCACCATGAGTCTTGCTCGATTTTCATTTCTATTAAGTTGTATAAGGTTTGATGACGTCACAACTCGAAAAGAAAGGACTATTACAAATAAACTAGCTGCAATTTCAAAATTTTTTGATAATTTTGTCGAAAGTTCTAAGTTATAGTATAATGCTAATACCGTTTCGTGGGAGATGTTCGTTCAGAATGTTTATTCCCAGCAAGCCTGCCAAATATGGCATTAAAGTTCAAATTTTGACAGACGCAACGACTCATTATATGGTCAATGCAGAAATATATTGCGGTACTGAAATAGAAACAGCTGAACCCAAATCGAAGCTATCAAATCCTACAAGAGTTGTTTTACGACTAGCACAGTATGTTGAAGGGACTAAAAGAAATATAACTGGCGACAACCGGTATAGCTCAGTTGAACTTGAGGTTCTCAAAGAAAAAAAAACATATGTGGGAACTTTGAAGAGAAATAAAAGAGGCATACCTCTTGAATTTTTACCTCATAGGAATAGACAAGTTGATTTTTCAATTTTTGGATTTTCTGCATCTAATACCATAGTCTCTCACGTCCCGAAAAAAGGCAAAGGTGTCAGTTTACTTTCCAGCATGCACCCTAGTTCTTCAATAAACCAAGATACGCTGAAGCCAGAAATAATTCACTTTTATAATGAGACAACATCAGGAGTAGCCGCCCTATTTGCAAAGTGTGCGAAATATTCCACGTCTAGAAGAACAAATCGGTGGCCAGTAGCGATTTTTCATCCATCTTAAATATTGCTGGTATCAATTCTCAGCTAATATACCAATTTTCTAAAGATGGTGAAGAAATTTCGCGATATGACTTTATAAAACAACTTGGAATGCAGCTAATTGACGAGCACGTGCGTTCCAGAATGGTCAACCCTAAAGTACCAAGAAAATTCACAATTTAATAGCTGATATTCTACAAATCACAATTCCAGTTGAGAAAGAAGTCACAGAACCTATAATTAAAAGCAAGCGAAAGAGATGTGGTATTTGTCCCGCCAAGAAGGATAAGAAGACAGCCATTAATTGTGATGGTTGTAAAATACCAATTTGCAATCAATGTTGCAAAAAAATGTGTCCGAAGTGTTTAGATAAGTAGTTTGATGTTTTTTTTAATCCTTAAAGGTACCTTGTAAGTGTTTTGCTGAATAAAAGTTAGAATTTTCAAATTTAGGTAATTAATACATACATATGTATATATGTTATATTGGTTTTTCATAGACCTTTACACCTTTACCGATCAAGCACACCGATGGCCACATCCTGCCAATCGCCGCATCAGCAATATTGCGCCATCCGCAGTGGAAATCGCCGTAGCCGCGATCACACGATGTCAGCAAATCAATTCCTTATTTAAGCCAATGTATTGTAATTAAAAAACACTTATAATTTTGTATTTAATAAAGCACGTTATGTCAGTTTAATTTTTAATTTTAAATAATAATTTTAATAAAAAAATAAATAAATAATTAAAATAATAAAATAATTTACAATTAAAAAATTCATTTTTTAAAAAGTGAAATCCTCCAGAAGCATCATAACAAATTGGCGCAGTCTTTTGTAGGATTCGTAAAACGCTGGAAGAAAACAGCGGCGGATTCCAATCCCTTAACGAAAAAAAGAACCAGAGAACCCAACTCAAAGTACTAAGGATTAGGAATACCTGGTGAAGTCCCTGTTAGTCACGACGAGAACACGGTAACCTCATGGAAATAATATTAATGTAAGTACAAGAATTGTCACGTAGGTACATTTTTTTAGAAATCTCTAAAATAAATCTATTTATTTTCCGAAACTGTTCGATATTTCAATATATTCTTTATAATACAATATAAAATAAAAATAAATACAAATAATAATTTTGAACGTAGTTATAAGTAAATACATTTATTAAAATATTAAGAATATTTTTCTCTTTGAAAATAAAATAGTACTCTACTATTGTATATTTTATATTTTATAAAAAAAACAAAATAAAATAAAACCCGTAAACATTTAAGAAACTAAATAATTTTATTTAAATAATTAAATAAAATATAATATTTTATTAAAAAAAATATCTATCTAACATTATTAACTTCTTTAAATTAAAAATAATAAATCGCATAATAAATTTAATGGTCCTTTCGAAATTTTAGCACCGTTGGAATATTCTTTCACGAAGAAGATACTATCCGAGTATCTAATAATAAGTGGACTCTTTTGGTGTATAAGGAATTCGAACCGATAAAACAATCTATTTCTAGTGACAAAATTCTTTCTAACTTAACACATTCGATCAATCTAACCCTCGAATGATATCATTTAAACCTACAATACAAACGCACGTTAATCTTTTAACTCAGATTGCTGACTCTGTAAATTTAAAATTTAAAAAAAATGACATCAGAAACAAAGAAATATGAATTAAAAACAAGACGCGGCTTAATTAATGGTATAGGCAGTATTTTTAAATTTATAACAGGCAATTTAGACTCTTCAGATGGAGACTATTACAATGAATGTATTAATAAAATTAATCGCGACGAAAGGGAAATAGAAAATTTATTGAAAAGTCAAATATCTGTTACTACATCAGTTATATCAAATTTTAATTCTGTAACGTTTTTAGTTCGTTACATGTCTTTGATTATGATATATGATGTCTGGGCACAACCCTGTTATGGTTTGGCACAACCCTGTTATTGCTCTGTGGGAGCGCGCGCTGTCAACATCGCTTCTGTCAATTCTCTGTGATCTAACTTCACTTTTGGTTAGACTGTTTGGCCTGTCAGACGCGATTAGTCCCAGTTTTTGAGAAATGGTGATTATTTAAATCTTGCTGTGTAATCTGAATCAGCTGCCATTTCGAAGCTACAGGTAAAGCTGAGTTATTTTCCCTTTTAGATTCGATAATATTAGTGAATATATTTTAGGGTAGAGTTACGGATGTCCCAACTTGTATTTGTATTTGGCTGGCACGTTGGCGTCCCTTTGCTTTTGTCCTCCAGAATGTCATTTGGAAGAAAGGACAGATTGTTTATTATTTATTGAGCCCTAAGAAGTATTTCGAGGTAGGTTCATTTTGTTTATTAGACGGTGTTTGATTTTAAACAAGAGTTTCGTGTTCTTAGGGTCTTACGGACGGACCTTGTCTTACGGACAAGTGTCCAAGGTATGGACTATTTTTCAAGGTCCTAGTAGTGTTCTCTTGTGCCACTATCTTATGGAAGGATGTCCCATGGACAAGTGTCCCCAGTAGGATTGATTTGTCTTACACATAGAGTGCCCCAGCGTGGATGTGGCTTGAGCCCCGTGCTGCTTCACCCCCATTTCTAAGCCTGGATCGCCGACAGACAGTGCAGAGATGCAAGACCTCCTCGCGCTGCTACTGGTTGAAGCAGGGTTACATTAAAGAACAGCTAAGTGTAATTTTAAGTTCTAGTATTGCATTTAACACCTAAAATGTTTTCAGTCTTAAACAGTAACGTACATTTAAACTATAGCGTACAGACTATATTTAGTGGTTAGATTATTAAGAATATTTATGTCAATGCAGTAGTAAAAGTGTGATTTAGATTTTAGATTTCATAATATCACGCATTGTAATGGTATTACTTTCTATAGACATCATTATTACGCTATACTAATAGATGAATGACGAGATAGATTCTAGAATCTACAGGTTGCAACACATCTGATTGAACACCGTATAAATTTAACAATTTAAATAAAGTAATGCTACTTTTCTTATATTTTCTCTAATGTTACACGCATTGTATTTTCCTTATAGTCTTTACATAGAACGTTTTAATATTATTTACATATATAGTTTTATTCAACAGGTAACCACTATAATAATTATTAAAATTGTACAATGCTATTCACCATCAGAATTCGTCACGAATAAATATAGTCATTAGTTTTAAGTATTATACAATTGTGTTTTCTTTCTCTGTATATGCCTGGCGCCCAATATCTAGATATCTTTTGTTTATTATTATTGATTAATTTTCTCTCTAGTGAAATACCTTATCCACGACTGCTCTCCGATGAAAAGCTGCCGTTCGCAGTGGTAGTTGTTTTAAAAAACGCTACACATAATTTGGCACCCATAAACGTGGGGCCTTGAGAAATTTTTACTCGTAACATTTCACTGGAGTCTGACAATTTTTCTTATTAATTTTCTTACATTAATTTTTGTAGTTTAATCTTTTTTGGCATGATACAGAGGAAGAAACGGTTGTAGTTTCTCTTGGTACGATTTAAGACTGAAATTTCTATTCTCTTTCTTATTTTTGATATTTCTATTTATTATTATTTGGGTCTGTAGAATTTGTACAATTTCATATTACGGAGATATATCAGCTGGGTATTTTGGTATTTTTGATATTTTGATATATTTTTGAACCTGGTATACAGGTCGGTCAAGATTTAATGCTTGGACCTGAATTTTCTTTGGGGTTAAATTTTTTTTAATAGTTGTTTAAAATTTTTTTCTTGGTAGATACACTTGAAAGTTTATCTATTGTTGGGACTTCCTTATACAGGGTGGTCAATATTTTTTGTGACTTTGAAATTTTTTAAATTTCAAGGTGTTTGACATTTGATAAAGTTTGAAACTTTATATTTACAGACATTTTGGTTTGTATTTTTCCCTATACAGGGTGGACAAGCATTAAATTTTCGACTTTGATTTTTTTATCTCTAGGTGTTTGAAATTTGATATAAATTTTGGACGTTATACTTAATTGAGATTATTTTGATAATTTTACGATACTGGGTGGTCACAACTTGACCATTTTGAATTTGTTTTTGTTGATTAATTGATTGCAATTAATTTAACAGGTTTTGGAATTGTCGATAACGACAGGCTATATTATTTTTGATTTTTATCTTGACAATTTTGAATTTTTTTAAGATGGAGGTTACCGCTTTCCAGTCGGGTCATTTATTGATCGATGAGCTTAATTATGAACTTGAGATTAGACAGACTATCACGGAGCGTCCGATGAATGAGAAACGGAAGATTTTGTGCCGTTTATTAGAGAAGGAACGTATGAAACCTGGTTGTCTGATTGACATGTCATCGTACGATAAACCTTTTGAGCAAGATGTACTGAAATTAACTTTACAGTAGATTCTATTAAAACTTTGATTTCTGATTTTGAAGGTTCAGTTTCCGACTCTCTATTTAAGCGCATAAAGTCTAGATTGTTTCATGTGTTAGGCCGTATTAAGCGAGTTCCCTTGCCGTCAGTTGAAGACGAAGACGTGTTGAGACGCGCTAGAACTTTTAAAAACGAAACTTACGCTACTTGTATACAGTTAGAAGCAGACTTGCACGAACGCGTACAGCCTAGTAGAGCTGCCTCTCCAAATCTTTTAGGTTTCGGTGACCCTAGTAGTTTTCAGCCCATCATTAATGTACCTGCACCGGTTATTAATGTTGGTAGGTCTATAAATTTATCCGAATGGGGTATCAAGTTTAGTGGGGATGGTAGACAAGTTTTTAACTTTCTTGAACGCGTTGAAGAACTGGCATTATCGCGCAATGTAAACCGGGATGAGTTGTTTAGATCTGCGGTTGAGCTTTTTACCGGCGAAGCTTTTATCTGGTTTCGTAGTATTAAAGATTCGGTTCATGATTGGGAATCCTTAGTTAAACGGATTAAGTTAGATTTTCTTTCGGCTGAAATTGATGATGACTTGTGGGATCAGATTAAGGGGCGTAAACAGAAGAAAAATGAGACTGTTGTAATTTT